GATATTTTCTCATGGGTTAGACTCAAACAAATTTACTTTATACGTCACATCCTATAAGTTATTTTTGACCGAGCTTACTTTCGGACATATGGAATTAAGAATATTGTAGTCTAATCAACACTGCCCAAACTCTCTTAGATTTCAAAACATTTAAGTTAACAAACTTGATTTGGCTTGGCATAAAAATAGAATAATGGCCTTAAACCAATAATCTAAATTCTTTAGTATGTTAGCAACCTAGCTATTGAACAAGGTTAACCTTGAGCTAAAAGAACTTTATCAATATCAAGCATCAATCTTTGCACTGAAAAATTACTTGATAAAATAGTGATCAGTAGTTAAGCAGCACCATAACGTATCTCTGATATGAAAGCATCTTTTTGTAACTCATCACTTCCTTATAAAAGCCTTATCAAAAATTTACTATTCTGCATATAATCTAGGATTAAAATTGACTTACAGCGTGATGTGATTCATAGGATAAGGAATATGAGCTTCCATTTGTATCTTCGTCCATTCCTGGTGAACATGAAGACACCGTTAATGAAGTAACAGCGCCTGTTCCAGGGTTTGAAAATTGTCGTACATCCATTGAAACCGGATTCGCCAAGGCATCGGTATTGGAAAGTGTATTGTATGTAATGGTTGACGATGGAAAGAAGGAATGGGCCGAAAATGTAGTATCCCCAGTAGTAGGATGAAAAGTAATTCCGGTAGCATTTGAAGAAGCACGAACATCTGATGTCAGTGCATCAGATTCCATTTGAACTTCATGATGATGAGATTGTGAGTGCAAGGCGAATCTAGGAAGTTGTGCGCAAGTGGTATCACACTGGTAGCCACCGGAATTAGGGTATATATTTTCGTATTCAATTGATTCAGATGCACAAGATTCAACTAAAATATTTGAAATAGGTAAGACCGAATGAATGAATTATTTTCAGTCAGGTTGTAAATAAGGACATAATATTTAATAAGTAAAAGTCATAGCTTCATAAATTCAATTAAAAACCCTTATATAAATAAATAAAAACTAGTTAAAAAAA